TGGATATTGCTGTGAATGTGTTACATCCACCTTTTTGCCATTTCTCAACCTTTACGAGTCTGATCCTTGTGTTGGAAACGATGTAAAAAAAAAAAATCATCAGCCGTGCACTTAAGTTTACGGTTTTTCAGCAATGACTAAAAGTCTTCAGAAATACAGCAAGCGAACCACCGCGCCACCAGCATGGCACCGGCAGTCCCTCCAATCAATACCAATCCTGGGTGTACTCCTGCTTTGTGCTGGCCTTGGTCCGACTCATCCGAGGTTGTTCTCAGCAGAATTACCTCCCTCAAATCCCTAAGAACCGTCTCCCTTTGAATCCAAACCATTACAGCGACCGGTTTGTGTTTGATCCGAGACGGAGCGAGCGCCCAACATCAATACTTCATTTTCACGGCGATGCTTACGATTGGTCGATCGCGTCGGCGGGACAGCGTTTGAGGAAATGAAAGAGCCCATCGAGAGATGTGGAGAAAGAACGGCGCCGGGCTCGATGTTTCAGGCTTGTCCGTCTCTCGAGATCAATGTGTGCTTTAAGTGTCCGTAAATGTAAACGATCCACAAAAAGTGTGCATGGGGGGGCAGTGAAGAAGGAAATCAAATGCGGGCGAGGTGAGGCCGGGGGAAAAACAAACAAAGAAATACAACATATTTTTGGAAAGATTTAGTCCAAGTTAGTCCCTCAGCATTCACATCGAACCACAAATTGGAGGATGAGAGGTGAACAGATAGAAGGTGACACACATTCCTGAGATCTGGCTCAAGCTGAAACATACATTAAAAAAAAGAGGACAGAAAACAATTAATTTCTTTTTTTTCGTATCTTGTGCAGGTCCCTTATTGTTCAGCTCACCTACCGGACAATACCTGTCCAATCAGGAAAGGGCATTTAGTCCTTCGCCTGCCCCCATAGAGAGAGAGAGAGAGAGAGAGACACTGGATCTTATTATGCAAACAGTAGTAATCCATCACACAGGTGTTCCCTATTGCTTTTAATTAATGACGTCTCTATGCGAGCGTCTGCACACAGTCCTCCCACTCACACTCACACACACACACACACACACACACAATGTGGCCTTATTACTCGTAGCCAATGAACAGCTGATTACTTTGTCTATAAGCCTAAGTTATATTTTTGTGCATGCAGGTTAACTGACGCGTAGCGACGGTGCGAGCGCTCATGATGGATGTGTTGTACAAACACAAACACACACGCACACACACACACACACTGGTGGGGCGTGCGTCTGGTGATAGTGAGTGAGTAACACGCCGCTTTGTGCAGATATTCATAAATGTAAATGCTGTTGTCCTAAACAGTGCTGGGAAACAGATAGCTTTGTGTTGCTGTCGAGGGGATGGCTGATCGGCCTGCTTAATCCTCTCGTCTGCGTCTCGCCCTCCCTCCCTCCAACATGCACACACACACACACACACACACACACACAGATATATAGACTGGGCCTGTCTCGTGGTGTCTGACGTGAGAACTCAAGAGTATGGATCGCGGCTCTGGCCAAGCACTATTACCCTGATCATGAGGAGCGCAACACAAAACCTTCCTGGCTCCCCCTCCAGCAGCGTTCCTGTCTAATTTCTCTCCTTCCCCGCGTGACGTTTCGAGCTGGGTGAAGATAAAAAATGAAGCTCTGATTCTGCGTAGGCACGCACGTACATTTATACGGCGAGACCAACTAAGCTTACGATAGCTGGCCTTGTTCCAAGGGCATGCGCTGAGGTGACGGTGTCATTGATACACACACACGCGCGCGCAAACACATATTATGCGTTTATTTGCCACGCTAATCATTCTCCAAAATATACAACTGATAAATTAAGAGATATCACCAAATATCCATTACGCAAATGAGCAACCTGCTGTGCCATTAGATTGAACACATGTATACGCGCGCACACACTCGTGCGTGCACACACACACACAGCGGTGGTTAATTGCCAGGTGGTGGAAGATAATGTGTGATTTAACGGACTGATGGATTTGTTTTTGTTTCGGTCACCCATCGGTGAACAGAGACATCTGTAGCAGCGCCAACACACACATGCTTGAGTTCTCTCGCTCTCACACACACACACACACACACACACACACACCATTATACACAAGTTGAAGCCCAGGGATATCGCTGACAAGTGACTGATAGCAGTGGCGACGGGCATTGTGCAAGACCCGAACACAGGGAAATGATCCGTATTCACCAAGTAAAAAAAAAATCACGAAAGAGCCGTTTGTGTGTATTTTTTGTGTATAGTAGTGCAATTACAGATATATGGGAACATGCACAGGTAAGAGTGTGCGCGCTTTTGTGTACGCGTATCAACAGTTCATCCTCGGTAACAGTCTCAGCCTCTCTCGTGGTTGATGAGTGGCTCGCGGGTCAGAAGGCGCTTGAGAAACTGCAGGTCCGGAGGCCTTACAATGTGTTTACCACTCAAACTGACAGCTACACCACAGCTTATTATTGGCCTTCTAAACCCTCCACACTGCACCGGGAGTTAGAGGAACTCCACAGTGGCCCGATCGCCGACGGCGAGAGACACACCAGCCAACCTCCACGAATGTGAGACGTTAGCGGCGGTGAGTGCGGAGATGAAAACAAACGCTGGGAAGAAATTGCCATGAAGTATATATGAAAGAATGGATTATCTGCCCTTTGTGTGTCACTGTCCGTGGTCCCTTTCTCTTTGTGATTCCACAAGGAGCCTGAACAAAAAAAGAAGAAGAAAAAGGTCCCCCGCACTCTGTGTTCCTACACAGTCGTTGTGTATGTGTGCGCTCAGGAAGAGCAGGAGAGCGAGATGAGGATGAGCGAGGTCCACTGAGATGCCGTGTTCCTTAATTAACCACAGTCTTCTGTAAAAAGACCCACACTGCAGGGGCTCAGGATATTCTGCCGCTGGGAAGAAGAGCACAGTGAACGAGTGGAGGGGCCGCGGGGCTCTGCGGTACTCGGGTCCAGGTTAAAGGTCAGGACTCTTCAGGCTGCTTTACTTCTTCTGCTGCTGCTGAATTACTACTTTTTTTCCCCTTTTTTTTTTAAATCAACTGCAGCGTTTTATTTTTTGCTTTACAAAACGGGGAGAGTGTGCAGCAGAAAGCAGCTGACAAGTGACTTAATTAGTATACATTTTACCAAGGCTGGTGCTGCTCATGTTACGAGGAGCTGATTGTGCCGAGGTCCCGGGTTCACCTCTTCCCTTCGTGCCTTTGAGCGTTTCTTTTACACATTTTATCTAAATCAACTCGTCTCTATTATGGAAACCGTAGGTGGAATTTCATTAGCATACATTATAAAAAATTGTTACAGAGAGAAGAAAGGAAAGTATAGAAATTGAAAAAGAGCCCTCTTCACATTGAGAATGAAATATCAGCTGGAATGCAACGGCATCAACCGTGCGCGGAACATCCGTTTATCTAAAATGAACAGGAAAACCATTTCCTCACATCCAGGGAAATTAATATTGTTTACCGTGTTGAACCACAACGCAATAACCCCCCCCCCCCCCCCATCACCCCTCCCTCCTATTGCTTTGCGCAGTACTTCACGTATGATGTTTCTGCTGTGGTGCTTGAATCCACTTGCCTCTCCTAAGTTTTATTACACGCTGTAAACTAAAACCAGAGGCTTCGAGTCATTATCAGCGGACAGAATGATTGATTTTGCGACTGCAAAAACAACAGTGTATTTTCTGAGAATTCATTTTGTTTACGTCTTTAATAAGTGCAGTCATAAAACGTGATTCAGTATGCATCCGACTGCTCATCTATGGGGGCCTAGTAAATTCTGCTGAAGAAGTAAACACCACAAACTGAGAGGTTTTAAGGGCCGCCTGGGCTCCAAAATGCATCCTACAGTCAGGACTCGCAGCAAGATGGAGAGCGGAAAGGAAGGCGTGTGTCACTCTCTGACATGCGCTCTGCGGTGCACCTAAAATCCAGGATGGTTGCATTATTTTGTTATATTAATTGAAAAACCATGAACTCGTTAGATCTCAGGGCTTCCTGAGTTCCTCATTTAAGTAGGACACCTTGTAAATTGATTAATATGTCACGTTAAACCCCACATTTTTTCCGCATATTTTTCGCAGAAGAGAAGATGTGAAGATTGGAACAAATAATACAACATTAACGTACAAGGCGTGAATTGTGGGAAGGGAGAAAGGCTCAGTGTGTTGCTGCAGACTGACGCCACATTCTTACGGATTCAGCAGCAGAGCCATGGAGCCACAAGGACACTATTTCTTTTTTTTCAAAAAGCCGCTTCGCACTTAAATAGAGATAGGAGCGAGCAGCGAGGGATTAGAAGGATAACAAAAAGGCCAGCGGACTGAGTGTAAACAAGAACGGGGGGGTTAGAGAGCGATGGAAGGAGGGAGCCGGTTGGAGGGTGAGCGAGAGGCAGAGATTGAACGGTGACACCGGCACAACACAATGGGGTCAGGATGAAGAAGTGCTCCTAATTGAACCAGATAAGAGGAGAAGACGGAGGAGAGAGCCCCCGGAAGACAAAAGAGGAGCACTTCCCTGCCCTCGTCTTAGGGCTCGGACGCGGACGTGAATGGCTGAACGGGGGTGGGGGGGGGCGTCCGAGAAGCATGCACAGATTGACTTTGAGGAACGCCGGTTAAATGTGTCCAGACTAGTTGTGCAAGGTGTTGAAAAGACAGTTTGGAGGCACCATGACTTCACATGGGGGGGGGTTCTGCGTCAGCAGCTTGTCGCTCTGGAATAGCATCCCTCTCCAGAGAGACGTGGGAGGCCTGTCCAAGCAGCTCTATACACTTTCTTCTACCCACAAGAAGACACAGACATGCAGGTAGCAGTTCACACTCATCGAAACCACTGACGACTGGAAATGAGCCATCAGGACAATCCGCTTCCTTTAAACGGGGTTAGAAGAGATCTAAAGAAATGGCTTATTACCCCCCAACACGCACACACAGATGAGCACAGAAAGAATCGGTGGGGGGGGTCTTACTGTATGTTGGAGCTGTTCCAGTAGACGGAATGCCTGTTGGCGGTCACCTGGACCACGTCCGCCCAGGTGAGACTCGTTAGCACCCAGAGAGACAGCGCCACCAGAGCCATGCTCCCGCCTCCTCCTCGCTCGGCCCCCCCGGTCCGCTCGCTGTCTCGACCACGCTCTCGGTCCCTTCACCCCACCAAACAACGCGACTCAAACATCCCAGCAAATGCCTAACAGAGGGGGGGGGGGGGGGAGAAGACAACAGCTTCACGCATACATACAAATGAGGTGCGTTACTTGCTCTGGTTAATAAGTGTCTTAAGGTCTATTGAGGTGAGAAGTGACTAAAGCCCCCCCCCACCTCCTTCCAGCATAAACCATACGGAAAAACCCCTCGCACCCTCTGCAACAAATCCTGGGGGTTCCAATAAGGGGGGGGCAGGTTGTGCTCACCGGGAACTGCCGCTTCTGAGACCGCCGGAGGAGCGCGCGAGGCCGGTAGCGGGTCCGAGCGGGGGGTCGGTCTTCCTCCGGGCATGAAACGGTCCTCGTCCGCAGGGAAAGAGTTGACTGCTGCTGACGTGTAAAGGCGGACTGGGGGAGAACTAAGAGTACGAACGGTGGTAAAATAAGAGATAGTAAGCAAGTCCTTACAAGAGAAGAAGAAGAAGAAGAAAAAAAAAAAGAAATAAAACAACTGTATCTGCGCGCGGCTGCGGTTTTTCCTTCCGAGGGACCGATGGATGCGGAGCACGCGGGGCCACTGGGCTCTATAATGGCTGCAAACAATTCAAGCGGCCAGTTTCATTAGCTCCTCAAGACTCTTTATCCGACAACCATCGTTTACGGCGAGCAGCCTGCCCACCCGTCTCTCCCCTTTCCTCCCCCTCTCTCTCTCTCTCTCTCTCTCTCCCCCCCTGTTTGGTAGGCAGCTCTCGTTCACTTTTTGACTCCGCCCCCTGCGAGCGACAAAAAAAAAGCGCATTCCTTTAACATCGTGCCCGAGTCTCGCGGCGCACCAAGTAAGTAAGTTCGTGCACGTTTGGACCCCCCGACGCAGTTAGTCAGTCTAATACGGAACTATCATCGTGTACGTGCAGCGCATTAACGCGCGTGCTCGTGCACAAACACTCTTGCGCAATTCCCCATAATGATACGCGCTGTATTCTCACGATGAGGACGCTTTTTGGGACTTAAGTCTCGTTGAAACGGAAGTGACTCGCCGTTTTTTTTTTGCAAAAATATCCCACGAAAATGAATCACACCTCAAATCAAGCAAATCAATAGAGTTGTAATAGAATTAAGAGTTGTTTGCGTGTAATTCTCCCTGGAGCGTTGTCACGCAGAAACACGGGTAAATGTCCCCCCATTGCCGCAAACGGTTTACCCTAAAGTGTGCGTGTGCGCGTGCGTGTGCGCGCACGAAATAGAGAGGAGAATAGAGAGCGAGGGGGAGAGAGGGAGAGGAACAGGCCAGACGAGGACAGAGACAGGAGGGAGGGAAGGAAAGAGAGGGGTTCCATATAGGAGAGAGATTGTTACAGTTTTCTGGCCGCCTGCTGGGAATGAGTTGGTTAAGGGGGGAGTCAGAATGATTTATTAGAAGAAAAAAGGGAGGGAAATAGGGAGAAGGAGTGCAAGAAACAGAGTGAGATGAGATGCCATCGGGGAATCCCTCCGTCTTCTCCAGTCCTTCCACTTCTCTCATGAGCTGTCCATTTAATCCCCCCCTCTGTCTGTCCGTCTCTCTCCATCTCCTTCCTTCCTTCCTTCCTTTTCTCCTCACTTCACCCGTTTCCACGGCAGACGTTCTCCGCTCTGCGATCTGTGTTACCTGGCCCTTCTGTTCCGCCTCTCGTCTTTTGTTAGCTCGGTCTCTGGTGGTTGACCCGTCTCCTCCGGCTCGCTCTCCATCTCTCTCCGTCGCAGCAGGCATGCGACTTTTTTAATGAGCACTCCTCTTTGGCCTTCTCTCCCCGCTCCTCACGATGTCTCCTGTCCACGTTGTTGTTGTTGTTGTTGTTGTTTATCGCTACACTGCGTTGGGGTATTGGCTGCGGCACCGTCAAACACCTGGAACTGATTAAATAAAATAGTCCCAGAAACATACACGCACATGAATACATACATAGTTAGCAGAGCTTAGCATAAAGAATGGAAACGGGGGCATTTATTGCCAAAATATGTCAAACATACAAGGAATTTCTCTTGGCGGTTGGTGCATGACAGACAGTGTAACAATAGACAACAGGACAGCAGTGCACAAGTAATAAAATAAAGTAAAATGAAATGCTAATGCAACGGGTTTGTAAAAAAAAAAAAAAAAAAAAAAGAATAAGGCTATGGGTTAGTATAAAACAAGGGAATAAAGTTAAAGTTAACAATTTAAAATATTAAAAAAGTTTAAATATTAAGCATAAAGTGCACTAGCGAACAAGTAACAAAGTGACGAGTGACGACAAAGTGATAATTTACAGTTAAAGTGACAGTGTGAAGGGGAGTGACCGGTGGACCGGTGGAATGGTCAGTGGGGGGCCGGGCTCTGCTGATGAGCCCGACTGCCTTTCTTTACTGTCGATGAGGATTTATCAAATACCATCGTCTTCTTTGGCGAGTGGAACTTTAAGTGAACGTGTGTGACGTGAAAACTAGACGACCTGTTCACCAGTTCTTGCACTTGGATCTCATTAATCCAAATTCCATCCTCTAAAGAAGGCCTTGGGATATGGTCAAGTGGTTTAAAACAAGTTTGGAAGTATTCAACCACACATTCGATTCCACATAGAAATCAGAAAATCGGAATGAAGCCTGAACGATCTGCATGGCTAGATCAGGCTACTGGGTGTGAGGAAATGCGTCTCTGCCGTTTCAGTGAAACCACCCTTCCAGTGTCGGTCTCCAGAGCACGGGTGATCGACAGTGTGGGGCCTACAGGGGGCCGTTTGTAAACATGCCGTATGTCTACGTTTGTTAATCAGGTCCAGGAAGACCAAGTTGGAAATCGAACACCAACGGAAGAAGAGATTTGTTACTTTCTTTAAATAATACATAAACCGCTTGGTTCCACAGACGTCAACATGTTGTGTTTCAGCAGACGGCCCTTCTCAATTTTAATCATCCACGTTGAATTTTCCAGGCGTGGGTTGCAGTGCTATTGCATTACTTTTCCATTGGGGGTTATTATGAGAAACGGCCTTGGGGAGGACCGCATGAAGGGTGACACCCGAAGCTCTCGTGACATTTCCAACCCACAGCCGGCCAACACCACATCTGTCAAGTGATTCTTTGTGCAACCTCCAAAATCTAATGGTAGCGTTCTCACAGTCCTGACAATCGGATACCAGGCCCCTGCAGGACTCACATCCCTCTCCGTGGCCCCGGCGCGGAAACAACAACTCGTACAAATTGGCCGTGAATTGACCTAGTTATGGATATGAATGCAAATATACACAATTTGTAGTTTTTTTGTACACTTGCATGTGTGCTGCATTTCAATGGCATTCTTGAACCAGGAGCCTTTTTTCTCACTCCTCCTCGCTCTGTGTCTTGGCCTGCTTCGCTGTTCACTGTTGTGTCAGTAAATTGTACTGACACTCTCTCCTCCCCCCACCCCCCACCTCCCCTCCCGCCTCCTCTCGCTCCCTCACCACCTCTGCTGCTCTCCTTCCCTCCCTCGCAGTCTCTCTCTCTCACCCGACTGACTGACACGAATTTTCAATCTCTCTGTTTACCTTTCGCTGCTGTGCCTAAAACAACACTGGTACGGGCTAAGAGCAAGGAGGAGACTGAGGAGGGGGGGGGGGTGAAGCTGAGTAGAGATGGGTTGGAGGAGGAAAAAGAGGGAGAGAGCCACTAAGATTGGATGGGAAAAGGAGGACGGGGTCGGGGGGGCGTGCAAGAAACGAAACGAAAGAGGTGCAAAGAGAGAGAGAGAGAGAGAGAGAGAGAACAGGGCTTTCTCTGTGTTTTGGTTGGAGGGGAATCCAATGGGGGAAAGAGACGAGAGGAGTGAGGGGTTAAGGGAAGGAGGAGAGGAGCTGATGCTTTAACAGTCACGCAAACTGAGCCAGCAGAGGGAGAGGAGAGGGGAGGGGAAGCGGGGGGGGGCGTAAGTCAGAGTTGGAGTTAGTTGGGGCACAGAACATTAGGAGTGCAATGAGATATAGAGAGTGAGGGGGAGCGAGAGATTTATAGGGGTACAGAAGAGGACAGAGGACAGCAAGAGTGATGCGTTGAGAGAATTTTTTTTTTTTTTTTTTTTTTAAAGACTAGAGAGATGGAGGCAGAGAGAGAGAGAGAGAGCTCAGAATAGATGCGCTCTCACCAACATGAAATATTGAACGAAGGAGGCCGAACACAAGGAGGGGCGAGCAAAATGGAGGGACTGATAAAGACAAATACAATCAGGGTTTTGTGTGTGTGTGTGTGTGTGTGTGTGTGTGTGTGTGTGTGTGTGTGTGTGTGTGTGTGTGTGTGTGTGTTATCTAGGAAACAGATGAAGATGAGAGAGAAGAGTGGAAGAGTAGGTGACAGGAATATGAAGAATTGTTGCTCCTGGTAGGAGGCCAACACACACACACACACACACACACACACACACTCACACTCACGTTGCTTTGAGTTTAGATTACTCCCATGTGTGGAGGAGATGGAGCGGAATTTGGTGGTGTTGAAAATATCAAACTGCAGAGTATGTTTCATCACCACTTGCACCATCCCAACACACACTCACTCGTACGCATACACACACACACACGCACACACACACACATCCTCCCCCTTTGATCTCACTTCTCACTGATGTTCTCTTCTTCCATGTCAAATATTTAGGCTGCATTTGGCAGGTTTGACGAAAATTACCATGGAGAAATGATTTTATTTATTTAACTTCCACATCAGAAGTCAGCATCAGTAGCCGCGAGAGGATGATCCCAATTTTCAACAAGAGGAGGACGGCACTGATCCCCCTCCCCCCAAAATCTGCTGACTCTCCCATTTTAGACATTCTTTTCAATGCAGGAAAAACCCCATTGAAGGATTTCTGAAAAAGGCACATGAACGATCTGTTTAAAAAAAATAAAAAAAGTTTAGATGGTTTAAGAAGAAGAAGACTTCACAGACACTCGTATTCATTGACGAGGATGAGTCAACACTTTCTCTGCCGCCATTATTTGCTATTTAAGCGTTGAGATGGTGTTTCATGGCTCTTTTTGGATAAATAAATGCATTTGTTGATTCATATCGGTTATGCAGCTCCACAGGGCATTATAATCTCCAGCTAGCCCGAGGGGTGAATCATTTTAACATGGAAAGAGTGAATTATCTGGCTAGGGTCGCATACAACGAATGACGCACAATTACAAATCTCTCCTCCAACCCGCATCTCTCTCTCACCATCACACCTGCGTACAAAAACCTGCATTCACTCTCTGCATTATTTATCCTTTAAAGATGTTGACATAAATCAGATAGAAAAATAACACTGTTAAATGAATAATACATTTTTGTTTTAAGTAAGATTCCCATTAAAATAAATGTTGTGTTCAAAATCAAATCATCACCAAATGAGGTAACACAAATAGTGATTGATCCCACCAATTAGAATTGTTTTATTTTGGAAAAAAAGGCTTTAATCAACTAAACCCTCGTTATACACATCCGGCCCCTGCAATAGCTATCACAGCCCACATTATGAAGTGACACGGAACACAAGATTAAGTTTGATTACAAAGTCCAAACACACTTATTTAGCTTTCGTCAAACTATTGTGACCCCAAAATCCTAGTGGATGTCAGCATTGTCACCCTGCAGGAGACCGGTGTTCATAACAGAATGACGTCAACGAGATCATTTACATTTTACTACATTGATCCAAAATCAATGTCAATGCTCAGTATT